CAATGGACGATCTTGGGCTATTGATACTTAACTCGGTAACTATGATCATCATTAATGTTTAGTAAGGGCAAATAGCCATAGGTTTTTGTTATTTTGTATCCTCTAGTAGTCTTTTACTATGCTCTGCACTGAATAAAGATCATTCATATTTGTAATTGTCTCTGATGCTGTAATTGAACTCCAAGGCTAAATCTTGTGTCTAGGCTGACCACAGAGCTACCCCTGTGAGAGAATAATTGTGTGCATCTCTGAGTTAGAGTTGCTGATGTGTTAAGTCCCAGATGCCAACTAAGAGATTGAATCTCTGCTCTTAGGCTAGGTGGGGACCCCTGTGAAGGGATTCTGGTGGCAAACTGTTGTGAAGCCTCGAGAGAGTACAGATTGTCTCGTAGATTTTTGTTTAATGTGCTGAAATACAGGATTCCCTTTCACCTCTGGACTGGGCTGAGTGGGTTAATCCTGTACAGGCTGTTTCTTGGAAGGTGCGAAGGCCTCAGTCTCCCCCCTGCCTAGGCACCTACTCACAAGTAGGGAAGAAGTAAGTGTGGGGATCACCATGGCGATAACCCCCCATCTTCTCTCAGCCGCAGGGACTCCAGCCTTTGGTTTTGGAGCCTCCCCGGTTGCTCTCACTTCCCAGGGAGTGTTGATGGCTGCTACAAAGGGAGCTTGTCAGCCACCTGCTGGGGCCATTAGGAGTCTATCAGGCTGGCTGGACTCAGCTTACTGCAGTTCCTCACTGCCTTATCCCCTCCAGCTGCTCTTCTGAAATTTGGTAAGGCAAAGGGGCCCTTCCTTTTAAAGGCTTCTGATGGGTTTTTAATTTACCCCCCCCTTTTTTAAAAATGGTGGAAGATGGTGGTGCATGTGAGACTTTCTGAGTTTGCACCTCAAGAGGGGTTGACCTCCTGCCTGGAGCTTCCCTCCTCACCCTCCCCTGCTTCTGCACAGGGCATTCTGCATGGGTCAGAATTGACAGGAACCCGTACCTTAGATCTCTCAGGGGATAATGTGCAGGCCAACCTCCTATCTTGGATTAAAGGGGAAATGCATAAAGAGATTAGAGCAGCTCTGTCTTTTTCTAGTTTAAGAGACCCATCCAGTTCTTCCAGCAGGTCTAGACAGCACTTACTCTCTAGCATAGGGACTGGTAGAAGAGGGGAGGGGAGAAATCCCCCCTCACCCCCATTCCAAAAGACGTAAAGTGGCCCACACTGAAAGACATTCCAATATAGCTGTAAGTTCTCTGTTAGACCACGATTCCAGTGTGTCTGACTCCTCAGGCTCTTCCTCTCCAAAAGAGGAGGAAGGGTTATTGGATGAAGAAGAGCCTGCAGACCTGTCTTTTTCTCCAGGAGGTCTTCACGTAGTTCCTTCCAAAGGTTCTTTGTATCCTGAAAATTCCTTTTAGCAATAAGGAGGCGGAAGCTTTTGAACCAAACAGATCTGCTGACTTAGCTAGAGCTTTTCTACAAGGGGGTCCCCCCTCCTTGGAATCCCCTTTCCTTCTGTCTTCAACAAGGTAGTCAAAGCTGAGTGGGAGACACCAGCAAGATCCAAGTCCAACCATCCCATTATCTCTCCTTTCTACTCCTTGGTACCAGACACAGCTGAGCGGTCCAAGCTTCCATTAGTCAATGACCCAACCTCTGTTCCAACTCAGTCATTTCTGCAGAGGCAGATGGCTTTCCAAGAGATCCTTGTGACAGAAGGATTGAACAGTCCTTACACAAGAACTTTGAAGCTTCATTGACTGCCCTTGGGGCCTCCATAGTGAGCTCTCTCTTTTCCAAGGCCAGTCTATCCCTGGACCTCAGACCTTTCGGAGGCAGGGAATGGCATCTCCAGGGAGCTCGAGGATGAACTAAAGAAGATCACCCTTGCAGCGGCCTTTTCTGTGGATGCATCACTGGACACGATTCAACTTTCAGCCAGAGCTATATTATGGCCAGACATCACACCTGGCTCTGCAACAGGGAAGTGGACATGTCCTCCCAGGCTCAAGTGGCTAGTGTGTCTTTTAAATGCATTTATCTTTTTAGCAAAGGTATGGACATTTGTCTGGTTGAAGACAAAGATAAGATGAGGTCTTTGCCTTCATGCAAGAGGGAACACAAGCCCAAGAAATGCTTTCACTCCTTTCATGAGCACAAGTGCACCTTTCGTTTCCGACCTCAAATCCTGCCAAAGGGAGATGACTGCCCAAGCAGTCAAATATCACTAGCTCATCCTTCCACAGACCAACAGGCCAGAGCCCATGGGGGCCCAAAAAGAACCCCTCGGCATGACTTCTACAGGAATTGAAACCCACCAAGTATAGGAGGATGTCTTCAACAGTTTGCAGCCCGTTGGGAGTCAACAGTGGGCGATAGGTGGGTTCTGGATACAGTTGTGAATGGCTACTCTTTGGAATTGTACTCCACTCCTCCTACCAGATTCATACAAGCCCCAAGGAGTCATTGCCCAAGGAAGCACCTCCTTCTTCAGGCCATTCAGCATTTACTGGACACTGGAGCAACAGAGCCAGTTCCGGAAGCCCAAAAGGCATTGGGGGTCCACTCAATCCCTTTTTGTAGTTCCAAAAAAGAATGGAGATGTAAAGGATTTGAAATGGATCCACCTTCAGGAGTTACCAGAGGGACGACAACTTCTGCTGTTTACCAGTCCTTTCCCTCCTTAGAGAAATTTGTAGGGATGCCACCTACACCTCGGTCCACGCATTCACCAGGCTGAGGCCACTTTTGGAAGAAGGGTCCTGCAGCATACCTTTTCAGGCTATGAGACAAGATTCTTTCCCTCCCTGGGGTATACTGCGTTTCTATGTCCCAGAAGTAGAGACTGCCCCACCCGGGCCGGGACTGGTAGAGAACGGAAGATTTTTCTTACTTACAGTGAATCTTCTTTCTCAGTGGTCCTGAGATGGGGCAATCTCTTCCCACCCTAGGGTAGAATTCTCTTTTTCAGTGGGTTCTTGAGCCGTAGTGGGCATGCAGTTCTGACCCTATGGGGCTTCGTGGCTTCCTTTCAGTTTTTGGCTGACCTGGTGGGCCCATGTTAGAGTTTTTCAACTGGTTTTCTGTGTGGTTTGTTGCCTTTTTTGGGAGGGGGTATTCCTTGTTTGAGATCCATTTTTTCATATTTGATACATTTTGGGAGATGGAATTGTACTGCTTCAGGACCAGACTCAGCGACCCTGCCTGCCTCCAAGGAGGAACTTCTTCCCAAAAGTAGACTGCTCCACCCCAGGATCACCAGGAAGGAGGCCTGTAGCTATGGTGAGCCTCCTGGGGCCCACCCTCTGACTTCCTGCCTAGCCCCCCAACTTCCTAGGTAGCCCAGGCCACCTGCCTCTCTGGGCTGCCTGGAATACTCCTCACCACCACCATCCCTCCCATTTCCCTGCTTGCCAGCAGCCTCACAGGCCTCTCCTTGCCTTCTCCTGTGGGCCTCGTCGTCTGAGGAGCAACTGCTCAGGTCGCTGGGGGTGGGCGGGTGCTGGGGCCAGTGCACTGGGGAGGAGTGGGGCACCAAGGCCCATGATGGGGGTGGCGCCTCTTCTTCGTCCTCCTTCTTGACTGCCTCAAGAGTCAGGGGCAATGAAGGGGCCAGGAGCAGAGGCGGAGAAGAGAAGGAGGCTCCTCTGTGGGCCATGGCAGGCAGGCAGGCAGGCAGGCAGGCGGCTGGCTGGGGGAGGACGAGGTGTGCACAGCAGCAGCGGTGGCTGCTTCCCAGGTCTGGCCTGCTGCTGCTTGGAGAGGGGGAGGGGAGATGACAGTGACACTTCCGCCAGCTGAGCTGGGGTAGAGCGAGTGGAGGAGGCAGGAGAAGAGCAGAGAGGAGGAGGCTGCAGCAGCAGCAGGGGGGAGAGTGCGGGCCTTGCATGGAGTTTTTTCCCCCTATTGGGGGGAAAGTGTGAGAGTGGGAGACAAGCGTGAGAGCAAGAGACAGAAGCTCCTAGCCAAGAGCAGCGAGGGAGCCAGGTCAGCTCATGGGACCTCCCAATCCCACCCTATGGAGGGAAGAGAAAGCCAGGAGGCTGGAAACGGGGGGGGGGGGGGGCGAGGGGGAGAGTGAGGGATGCTGGCTGCATTGGAGATCCAGGGAGAGGGCTTGAGGGTGGGGGGAGAAGTAATTAAATTATCTAAATTGGCTAAGTACCCCCTGAGACATTTAAATGCCTCCCAACTTAGAAATTCCTGGCTATGGGCCTGAGGAAGATACATGGTAAGGGAGAATAATCTTCCATTCCCAGCCAGCATTTCTTTGCTCAAGGTCACAGCCCCTCAAAGGTGTTTTTCTTAAGGAACATCCATCAGGATATCACTACATGCCTTCTTGTTGGATAGGAACAGAGGTATGGGTGTGCCTATGCACATTTTGGTGTGGGTAGGAAGAGCTATTACTGAAAGCAGGAGTTTGCAAGTCCCTTACTCCTTTAGATATTTCAGTAGAATGATACTCTCTACAGATGACATTTGGAGCCAATGTAAGTGCTCTGTTTTTCCAGAAGATTGTATTTTTGTTTCCCAGGAGGGGGTCCCCCCCCCACTTCTTAGCAGACTTTAAAAATAGCCTTCTTATTGATATTCTTTGCTTTTTCTGGAAGAGTGAGCTTCTGTACATAAGCTTTCTTTGGTTCATTTTAAATAAACTTGGAGAAGCTCAGATTGTTTGCTTCTGGTCTTGGGCAGGATTGCTGTTGCAAAGACTGAGATCTACTGTTCCTATGCAGTTAATTTAAGAACAGCCCATGTAGCATATAGCGATGGTTTCCAGTGGGTATAGCAATGGTTTCCAGTAGGGTATTAGAATATATTAGAGGTATTAGAATATATTTAACAAACCTGACTCAAGTGAGCTTTAAACAGTTACAAAATGGCCCCTCTTAATGATAAATAACAGAATTGTTATTGTTTTCCTGCATAACAAATATTAATACCTCCAAATGGTATTTATCTTCCTTCATGTGTTTTTATTTATTGTCTCTTTATTTTCTCTAGACAATCCATGTCGCCATTGTCTGTGCTGGGTACAATGCCAGTCGGGATGTTGTCACACTCGTCAAATCAGTCCTGTTTCATAGGTAATGCCTTTTTACCCTTGTTGCACGTTTCTTGTAAAGATGATGGAATATGTGCCTGCTCCTTGTATATCACAGTATGTGGGTGAATCCATGCCCCTATCCAATACCAAACAATATTCTTACACACCTGTCTAAAATGTCTTCATGTATTTGGAAGAATTTCATGCACCTCTGGAGCTCCATGGGTTTTGCTAATGTTTCTATTTATGGGAAACACTTTGTGGCATATGACCAATGCAGGTGTCGAACTGTTGCAGTAATGCTCAGCATATGTGTCATATGATTGCTGACTTCTGTGCCATACCCTTTACTTTTAATGCAGCAGGGAGCTTGCTAGGCCATCATAAAGTACATGGATCAGGACCATGAGGTAGGTTGCAGAGCCAACCTACTAAAGTCATGAGCCCCATAGAGCAGCCATTTCTTTTGGCTAGTTTTTGAAAGGACCTGCTGTTACTGTGCAGGCACAGAGAGCAAGAGCATCATGCCTGTTTCCTCTCCCCAAGTAAGATCTTGTTTGTCCTCCTCACCCACCCAGCAGCACTCACTCCTGCCAGTTGGGCCTCTGATGCTCCACACATGTGCTTGCCTTGCATCATAGAGTGCTCTCTCCACAAGAAAGCTTATATTTTACAGTTAGGGACCTCCACACTCCAAGCATGGATGAAGAGCATTAGACAACTGGTGGGTGAGGGTGGGCAAGCTTGCCACAGGGAGAGAGAGGCCAAGGGAGAACTTTTGCACAGAAGGTGGCTTGCCTCTGCTGGCTTGTTTCTCACTGCAGCACACTCCTGATGCTTGGTTTGTGATTCTTATCTCCAGCTCTCTTGAACTTGACCAAGGCCATAACACTGCCTCTTCCTGTCATGTGATTCTGGTATCATGTGACTTCTTACAATATGTCTGCAGACCTATAAGTCCCATCCTGCTCTGCTCCCTGGGAGTTGTTTAAATGGTTGAAGGCTAGTGCCTTAGTTCTCTCTTTGCTGCTATAAACCAGTACCATAACATTAATTGGTTTGGCTTGGCTTTTTATGTATAAAAATGAAAATAGAAATTAGAGATTCCATGTGAATATTTTGCTGTTATCCCCCCATAATATACAACTTAAGTCGCCTTGTTTTATTATTATGTGCCTGGTGTATCTGGAAAGCAGCACAGTCCATGAGTGGCTTGATTACAAATGGAAGTGGCTATATACACCTCATTATTTTTTCCTTTGAGATTCATCTTCATTGGCCAGTTTGGAGGCCAGTTGGATATCACTTCCTCAGCTGGTCCCTTCTAATAGAGACAGTGCACACAATATTTGGATGTTACTCCTTCTTGTGGCTCTTTCAGAGGGCTGTTCTTTTCCACTGTTGACAGGGTGACTGTGTGCAGTGAGAATTATTGGCATATTCTCTGCAATATTTGAGTTTATTATAGAACACAGTGGCAGAAGGATCTCTTGAACCTAAGCCATTAAGGGCTTTGTAGATCAACATCAACTCCTTGAATTGTGCAGAAGTGACAGTAGGGATTAGTACTGATAATGGAGGAATGTTGTAATATGTTCTCATGAATTCAAATGCCATCAGGCTGGTCATATTCCATACATGCTGAACCTTCTAAATATTCCTAGAGGCACATATACAATTGATGAATTGCAGAAGTCTAGTGTCAAAGCTGAAATGGTATGAAATGATGGTCACTGAATATGAGGCTGGAACAAATATATATTAATTATTATATTCCTTACAAAGTTTTGTTATTTCTTTTATATCTTGCATAGATTTGAATTGTCTTGTTTCCTGTTATTAAAAAAAACCTAAGTTAATGTTGATAAGTGTGGAAGCATCACTGTTGTTAATTTTAAATATGTATTCCCAAAGTTTTGTAGCTTTTTCAGAGCAAAAGATGATTCATCCATTTCCTTACAGTGAAAAAGCTGACATTATTGCAGCTATATTTTTCATCTTACTCAAAAGTGTAAGGCCTTGACTTTGAAACTGCTCTGGTTTTTCTTGGGTCACTAGGTTGGTTGACATAGAAATCTTTCCTTTATTCATTTAAATGTAGGAAACTAAGTTTAGCTCAGTATTAGTTCACTTACCTATATAAGTTACGTTTCTGGCCACCTAAAGGTAAGCTTAAGTTGTTCTTACCATGAACTACATAAGAGAAATGCTAAATGAGACAATTAGACCACCTTTTTTTTTACCCAAAGTAAGTTCAAATGAATTGTTTTTACACATAATTCCTTATGCTTAAAATAAGCTTTGTTTCTTTGTTTCCTTTTTTGATATAATTGGTATGTTCACACATCAGAAAATGTCATAAGCGACTCTTCTCAGTAAAAAGTCAGTGCTTTGGTCTTCTGAAGTGGCTATAGCATGAAAGGTCAGCGTTACCTGTACAAAAACACAATCACTTAACCCAACATCTCCTCTGAACACAGCACAGTGCTTCTCCAGGAAACAGTAATTAAGGTGACAGGAAAGAGGACATTTCAATTACTGGGAACCAAATGCTGCAAAACCAAAATCAAATACTGATGTAGATCTTCTCTATGCAATCTTGAACAATCAGATGGAACAGTTGTACCTGAAAATGACTGGTTCAGCGGGTTGACTTAAATTATCATTTTAACTTTGACTTTTAAGTGAAAACTGGTTTGGAGGGGTCTCATCTTCCCCTTGACTCGGGCATAGCAAGCACTGAGATACTGTATAATTTATTATAATTAAGCAGGCTGGGTGAGCTGGAAGAACTGGATTACTGGTGTGTCGAAATAGCTGGAATGACCTCTGCAGTCATGTGAACCAAGTGAAAGGTCGTAGAAGTTTGCCTGCTTTCTCCTGTGCTCTTAATACTGAACTGTTCTTGGCTTTCATGATCACCACATTTATTTCCATATATACTAAATGTTTTGAATAGAGAAATGTGTGTACTTGGAAATGTGTTGCTCAGATTTCTTTGACAAGATGGGTCTCCTGATAATTTATAGCTACACTTGACAATTTACTGGCACAATGCTAGCAGTGAAGGAAAATGGAAAGATACCGCTGTATAAACAATATACAGGCTGCAGGAGCCCCTCCCCCTTGTACATTATAGCTTGGCTAGGCATTGGCGCAATTCAGATGACCCACCAAACCATGGGCCCTGTTCACATGGCGAATTTGCTGCGGGAGAGCCATGATTGGATGGCGGATTTTCCGGGCACGATCACACCACAACATTTGGCAAGTGGAGTGCACCCGTGGCATGCCGCCAAAAATGTGCGATAAAAAATATCTCCTGGAAGGTAGTAGCAAACCGTTTGCCACGGGCTGCCTCCGGACTCCCTTGGTGTGATCGCACTGGCGTGGCTTTTCCCTCCAGCCGTTTTCGTTGCAGCGTGCACGCCGAGGGCCGGAACCGTGGGTTGCCACTGACACATTTGATCGCGTTGTCGTGTGGCTAATTGCAGTGCCACAAATAGCCATGCCTCCCCCGCGCGTTTTCTGGCCTGTATGACCAGGGCCATGGTTTAATTGAACTAACTACAGTAAGTAGTGATTTGTGCTAACATGAGCCACTCAGCTGTCATTAGTGTGCCTCAAGCAATGATCTGAAAACTGTGTTTTCTTATGGTGAACAGATACGGATATCCTGGCTTCTTGTCTGGTGATACCCTTGTTGCAATGCAGGCTGAGATTCCTGTTTAAACCCCTACTGGGTTGGCTTACTCCCCACCACCATTTATATGCAAGGAGACAACAACATGATGGGCTGTTTTGAACAGCACAGGGTAAGATCTCACATCTTCCACTGTGCTGCATCATGCTAAATGATGCTGTACCTTTGGCCCAATAACCAGAGTCCATCCCTCATGTGTCCTGTCTCTCCTGCAGACCCACCACTTGCCAGCATGTCTCAGTTGTCCTGGAATATAGGAAATCCAAAAGAATGTCTTGTGTGACAAACCTCCACTAGGCTGGCCAGTGAGAGTGGAGCCCCTCCCCAGGGCCCAACTCACTGGACATGTGTCTCACAGAAGTAAAGCAGGGGCAGCTAATGATCCAGGGAGAGGAAGGAAGGGAGAGATGTGGGTGCCCTGCAGAAAAGTCAGATGTGCATGTGTGGCCTTGCACAAGCAGGCTACGAAGGGGCATGGATACAGCTGAGATGAGGCATCCAGGGGTTTGATGGCACAAAGAGTTTGATGGTAAATTCTAGGATGGGACTAAAAAGGAGCTGTAAGGCATAGTCAGGGACTAGCAGAGGCAGGAGAGTGATGCAACCACTAACCCCATCAGAAGTAGGCGTTACTTTGATAGTCCTTCATGGAAATGGAAATTGAATTGTATTGAGCAGCTCTAACAGCTGCTGAACAAATTTGCAGTTGCTTGTTGGTCAGAATCCAATTTGCAGCTGATTGGAGGAATCAACTGGAATCTGGTTCTTATCCATCCTGCTCCCTCAGCAAAAACAATTGCACAATGAAACTGCAAAAGGGGTTCTTCCTCCTAGCTGGGTTGAGATTAGGGATGCCAGCCTCCAGGTGGGACCTGGGGATCCCCTGGGATTACATCTCATCTCTAGACTACAGAGATCAGTCCCCCTGGAGAAAATGGATGCGTTGGAGGGTGGACTCTATGGCATTGTACCCCACTGAGGTCCCTGTCCTCCCCAGGCTGCACCCCCAAATCTCCAGACGTTTCCCACCCTGGACCTGGCAACCCTAGATGAGACAGAAGCAATGTTTTTGGTCTTTGCATTGCTAATGGGAGAGGAGAAGGAGCTGGTTTCTCTCCTTTGCTGCTGTTGTGTCCTGGGAACCGCCACTAGGCAGTGGCCAGGCATGCAGAGCTTGATTCCTAAAGAACAATAGAGGCTAGGCTCCTAAAATCCAATAGGGGAACCAATAGAAACCTTGGCGGGAGATTCAAACCTCCCAATGGGATCCAGGGGAGTTCCCTTGGATATGTATATAATTGGCCACTTGGCCGTTTGTCTTTTGTAGTATGAAGTAC